GTTGTTCCATGATTGTCCAGAGTCTGAGGGGAAGAGGAGCAGGTTTGGGGGGAAGCCTTTGGGTGGGAAGGAGCTGCCCAAAGTGCCAGGTTAGGCTGGCACTTGGAGGTTCAGCTCCAGGAAAGGAGTAATATCCTTTGGGAGAGTGTTGTTCCATGAGTGTCCAGAGATTCTGAGGGAAAGCAGAGCAGGTTTGTGGGGAAACCTTTGGAGAAGAGTGGGAACAACCCGCCCTGGAGCTGCCCAAAATGCCAGGGTAAGCTGGCACTTGGAGGTTCAGCTCCAGGAAAGGAGTAATATCCTTTCAGAGGGTGTTGTTCCATGAGTGTCCAGAGTCTGAGGGGAAGAGGAGCAGGTTTGTGGGGAAACCTTTGGGTGGGAAGGAGCTGCCCTGGAACCGGGAGGGTCCCGGCGCCAGCGAGCACAACGAGGCACAGAAATCAACCCCCTGAGCTGGTGTGGGGTTGTTTTCCCAGGTGTCCAAGGAGGAAGGCTCTGCCCTGGCCCGGGAGTTCAACTGCCCCTTCTTCGAGACGTCGGCGGCGTTCCGGTACTACATCGACGACGTGTTCCACGCCCTGGTGAGGGAGATCCGCCGCAAGGAGAGGGAGGCCGTGATGGCCATGGAGAAGAAATCCAAGCCCAAGAGCAGCGTGTGGAAGAGGCTCAAGTCGCCCTTCCGCAGGAAGAAGGACTCGGTCACCTGAGCCGGGAGGGGGAAAAAGTTCCTCTGGGAAAAAACGGAACGAGAGCGGCGGGAACGGCTCAGGGACAACAACCCTGAGGGGACTCCGGGAGGGAGCGAGTGACTCTGCCCGTTATTTCTGTTTAGGATGAGATTCCCTTCCTTCTGGATCTTGGACTTTGGACACAGTGATGGTTTTCCTCCTGTTTGTTGCCATTTTTCCCTCGCCGGGCCCGGCCCGCGTCGGCTCCCGGCGTCGGCGGGTTCGTGGCCCTGCACTTTGGAGCGTTCCTGGGTCAAACTGGGAGTGCTGGGCTGTGCCAAACGGGGCTGGAGCCGCCCCCAAACCGGCTGAATTCCCTGTTTTCCTGGTGGTTTGGCACGAGCTGCTCTCCAGAACAACAACAACAACACCCCAAAACTCGAGGGGCCCGGCTGGCGTTTGCGGCGCGGAGGTCGCTGAGCAGAGCTGGGCTGGGCTGGGCTGGGCTGGACTTCTCGGCTTCTCTCTGAGTAGATTTGGGTTTTTTCCCGACAAAATTAACGTGGGATCCTTGTGCAAGTGTGATCTGAGTGCTCAGCTCCTCAGCAGGGGGGTGGGTGGGACCTAAACCAGTCGGAGCCACGGAATCCACCAGGTTGGAAAAGACCTCCGAGATCCTTGAGTCCAACCTGGGACCCAACCCCACCACATCCAGCCCTTGGAAACACCTCCAGGGGCTCCAGCAGCTCCCTGGGCAGCCCATTCCAGTGTTGAATTCCAGTGTCCCGTCCCACTGTGGCAGCAGCGCAGGAATGTGGAGATTTTCCCGCTGGAATTGTGTTGGAGGCGCTGCCACCCGTGGAAAGCGCAGCCTGGAGTTCCCTGCCCTGTCCAAACCCCTTCCCAAATCCCGGGAGGAGCCGCATTTCAGCGGGGCTGGGGCGGAGCCGCAGCTTTTCCCGCCTCCTCCAAGGAAATGCCGGCCCCGACTCCCGGCAACGGGATCCGGGATCCGCTCCCGCCGGGAACGGGATGAGGAGGGAGGAGAGACCCGAGTGTGCCCAAAGGGGAGCAAAATCCCTCTGCTTCCAGCGGCACTTCCAGGGAAAGGGGGGATCCGGGGAGTCGGGGCTGAGCTCGCTCTGCACGAGCCCCCTGCTCTTGTCAGGCCTCGTCAGACCCTTTCTCTTTTCTCTCTTTCTTTCCTTCTTTCCTTCTTTTTTTCTTTCTTTTTTCTTTCTCTTTCTTTCCTTCCTTCTTTCTTTCTTTCTTTCTTTCTCTCTCTCTCTTTCCTTCTTTCCTTCTTTCTTTCCTTCTTTCTTTCTTCCTTTCTTTCTTTCTCTTTCTCTCTTTCTTTCCTTCTTTCCTTCTTTTTTCCTTTCTTTTTTTCTTTCTTTCTTTCTCTTTTTCTTTCCATCTTTCTTTCCTTCCTTCCTTCCTCCCTCCCTTCCTCCCTTCCTTCCTCCCCTCCTTCCTCCCCTTTCCTCCCTTCCTTCCATCCTTCCTCATCTTTCCTTTCTTTCCTCCCTTCCTCCCTTCCCTTCCTTCCTTCCTTCCTTCCCTTCCCTTTCCTTCCTTTCTCCCTTCTCCCTCTTTTTCTTACACAAATCCCTTTATTTCTGTCCCTCTGGAATGGGATAAGGACCCAAACCCGGCCGCTTTTTCCAGGCTGGATGTGCAGGAGTCGAGCTGAGATTATTTTTTTTCTCTCACTTTTTTTTTTTGCACAATAAAATAAAATAAAATAGAAAACAAACCGGTGGCTGTGCAACAATAACTGAGTAATAACTGGGGAACAACAATTGCTGAGTGACAACCGTGGTTATTCCCGGGATAAACAACTGCAAGAGGGGAAATGCTGGGGCAGAACCGTGTCCTGAGCCCCTGGAATTCAAATCCCTGCGATCCCTGGGAGCGTCCAAGGCCGGCCTGGAGCAAGCCGGGATGGTGGGAGCACCCCTGGACTTGCCGCGGCTTGGGAAGCTCCCAAAAAAAAAGCGGGAAGGAAAGCCCTGGCAGGAATCTGTTGCCGGGGAAACCCGGCCCGGGGCTGTTGGGTTTTGTAAAGCCGGGCTTTGTGCCCGGCCCTGGGCAGGAAAACTGAGCCCCGGGAGCCGCATCCCCGGAAAACGAGCCCCGGGAGCCACATCCCCGATGCTCCAGGAGGGGCGAGATGGGAATAAACATCCCCGGAGGATTCAGATTTGTCCCAGGGATCCGGGAATGCCCCCGGATTACAAATTCCGGGGTGAAATGGCTTCTTTTTCTGCCCGTTTAATGTCCTTTTTTATCCCCCCCACTTGGATCCAACTGTGAAGATCCATTTAGAGCGATTTATTCCCAATTATAACGCTGAGGGTTCTGGGATGGGCTGAGGCCCTCAGGGGATCCTGGGATGGGATGGGATGGGATGGGATGGGATGGGATGGGATGGGCGGGGAGGGACCTTAAAGATCCTCTTTTTTCCAAGGTCAGGGACACCTTCCCCTATCCCAGGTCGCTCCGGCCCGGCCTGGGACACTCCCAGGGATGGGGCAGCCCTGGAATAACCCGGGCCAGGCCCTCCCCACCCTCCCAGGGACCAATTTCTTCCCAACATCTAAGTCTCCCCTCCTCCAGCTGGAAGCCGTTCCCCTTCCTCCTGTCCCTCCAGGCCCTTGGAAACGATCCCTCCCCGTCCTTCCGCCACCCCAAAATCTCCCCTTCCCCGACCCTGCTTTAATTTCACCCCCAATTTCCCAGGATCCCGTCGCCCTCCCACGTCTCCCCGAGGTTTATCCCGGTGTTTTTTTCCCCTGGGAGCAGCAGAGGGGTTTCCTTGGGATGCCCGGAGCGGCCCCGGGTCCCGGCAGAGAGCTCAGGCAGCGGATAAAGTGATTTAATCTTTATTTGCACGCTCGATGTGCGTTAACAAATCCAACATACAAGGTAGCGTTACAGGATGGAGGTTAGCTGATAGCAGTTATGCACTTCCACACAGGTTGAGAGTTTGCTTTTTTTGCCTTTTTTTTGTTTTGTTTTGTTTTTCCCTCTCTCTTTTTTTTTTTTTGTTTGTTTTGTTTTTTTTTCCCCACACAAAGTTGTAACTGTCCAAGTTCATTTTACAATAGAAGACACAAAGGTAAAGAATAAACCACACCTGGGAGATTTTTTTTACAGTGAGTCTGCTGTCACTTACTGTCTTATTTTTATGTCTTAAAAATATATAATATCTGCACATCTTCAGTTTCCTATCATTCCAGAAGAGTGTTGGAGCTACTCCTACCTGCCCGACAGCCTAAATCTATTTACCCTGAGCATGTTTCCTTGACAAGAAATTCATCTTTCCTTTGCAACTAAAGGAATCATCGAGGCTCACACATGCTTTTCACACCGAGGGGGGGCGGGGAAAGGGGGAATTTCGTTGCTGTTTTTAGGTCCCGGTCAGATTTTTGGGAGCGGTGCTGGAAAAGCATGTTTGGAGGAAAAAAAAGTTCGTGGCAGTTGCTAAAATTTCAGCGACACAATCGCTTTAAAAAAAAAAAAACAAAAACAAAAAAACAAAAAAGGCAAAACAAAAACCCCAAAACCACAAGGATTTAAACGGATCTGCAGCCACTTCCAAGGGGGAATTCCTTCTCTGGAGCCACCCAGAGCGTTTAAGACACCGATAAAACCGACCCTACCCTCAGGCAGAAACCCTCGCTGGCCATCGGGGAGGAGTGAAGTCCCTGCTTGACTGGGAGGGACTGGGAGGGACTGGGAGGGACTGGCCCAGTCCCGAGCACGGAGGTGGAAAGGATCAGGTTCTAAAATTCAGGGCTCGAGTCCTGTAAGCAGCTAAATTATCCTAATTTTTTGTTTGTTGTTTTTTTTTTAAATTAAACACCAGTAAGCAGCTAAATTATCCTAATTTTTAGGCTTTTTTTTAATTAAACCCTGGTAAGCAGCTAAATTATCCTAATTTTTAGGGTTTTTTTTAAATTAAACCCCATGATTCTCATCCCACAGGGGCCTGGGGCTGCCTGGAATCCCGGGATCCCCCAGCAGCCTCTCCTCAAACTCCTTGTTTCCACCGCAGGGCCCAGAAGTGATTTTAGTTCTGGCTGTTCCTGCTCAGTTCACTGTTTACCACCAATTATTTGCTGCTGGTTAATGAATTAATCCTCCTCTCTCTCTCCCCTGGGCTTGGCTGGAGCAAGAGCCCAACCCTGGGAGCAGCAGCACATCCCAGGCAGCTGCTCCCAAACTTTGTGGAGCTCAGGCTGCCTTGGAATTCCGAGTCTGACCCGTTTCAGTGCCAGGCTTTGCCCTGGGTCTGCTCCTCCTTCCAAAGCTGCCCCTCAGGGTCAGGTCTGACCCGAGCAGGGATGAAGGGGAGCTTTGTCATCCTCTCCCACACCAGCTTTTCCCCCATCCCAGCTCTGTCGTGCCCTTAAACGGAATTTATGGACCAGGAATTTCATCTGATGGTGGAAGGTTCCCTTCCCAGTCCGAGCTTGGCTTCCCTTGGGAAACCCAGGCACGGGCAGGGGTTCAATAAAACCAAAACCCAGCAGAGTTTCCCCAGTTTTTAGGAATCCTGTGGAACTTCCCCGTGGCAAAAGCAGCGGGACCAGTTGGTGTTCGGGTTTGAGAGGCGAGTCTGGGGCTTTGTGACCTCAGAGCTCCCCAAACCCGAGGATTTCAGCGCCTGACAAGGGAATTGTTCCTTCTCTGGAGGCCAGTGCCACTTTCCCTGTATTTTCCTTTTGTGCCAGTGCAGAATTCTGACCCAGCTCGACCCGGGGCTCCCAAACCAGCACAGAACAGAACCCGTGGGCAGGCAAACGAACAAGAAACCAGAGGTTAAACAGCAGAATCCAGAAAAACTTGGGGGAGAAGAAGCCTAATAAAAAAAGACAGGCCAATCTTGGTGAAATACCAGCAGAGACAGCTCGGCACGAACACGACTTCCATAGTGACAGATAATTGTATTAAAACCTGCAACTTGATACTGGCAGAGTTATACTAATTTCAGTTTTATTAGGCATGCAATAGCGTGATTACACTGTTATATATATCTGTGGTACCTCTTTTTTTTTTGTCATTTAACGCTCCCTCAGAGCGTCGTTTTTTGTTTTTTTTTTTTTTAGTGCCCTGCAAAAGAAAAAACGAAAACCAAAACGTAAAACAAACCAACAGAAAAAAAAAAAACAACCCACATCACTAAAGAGAACCGACCTCGCCGGACGAACGAAGAGTTGTTTTTTTGTCTTTTTTTTGTTTTT